TATAAAAAAAATCAGAATGCAAACATATGTGTATTTGTCACTTACGGTGCTCCATGAAAATTCTCGAAACTCTATATGAAGTAATTCAACCTAAAATACGAAAAACAAATTTATAGAAAATTTATAGATTTTAATATCAATTGGTAGCGATAAAAAGTATTATCAGTTTAAATATAAAAACTATTTGATATATCGTTTTTAACCTATCGAAATGTGAAAAATATACATATAAGAATATTTTTTATTGCCTTAGTATTAAGTAGAACATATCGTCTAATATTGTTCTAAATTCTCAAATTTATTCGAAAAAGTAATAAATAGTTTTTGGTACACAGCATTCAAAAGTTGCAACAGGTGAGCTCAAAAGTTCGTAAGCTGATATGATATGGTGATACCACAAATATTAAATCCTTATAATTTTTAGTCAGCCCCTACCTTTAAAAAGCATGTGCACAAATTTTCCAGCTTTCAAACTATTAGATTATGAGATATAGTATTTTTGGTGAAGCAATTTGTGTCTGTTTACATAAAATGGATCAAAAGGAATTTCGTGTGTTTATAAAGCATTTCTTCTTGGGAAAAATGCAATAGTGAAGCCAAGTTTTCTATTTATCAACATTATATGGAGCTGTTAAAGCGAAGTCAAACCTTATAAAGTGGTTTGCTAAGTTTGAATGAGACCGAGGACGATTATTAAACCGAAAAAAACAAGTGAAAGCAGGTCTAAAATCAAGGTTATGTTGACAGTTTTCATCCATTTATCGAGGTGTATATATAGTATTATTGAAAAAATAAAAAGTTTGAAAAATTATTTCATTTTTTAAATAAAAAAAATTATTGACAAAGATTTTTTTTGGCTTTAGGTAACTCATGTAACCCTTTATATCCTCTATTAATCCTTCTTCAATCAAGAAAAATATATGTATATACATATGTGACCTGGTCTACGAAAAGGGAGCTAACGTGCGAAAACAAGCTTATGACTTTTTGGATTCTATCACGTGAAAAAGCATCTCATCTTCCATCCGAATCAACTAAGATTTTTTGACTCCTAAGCCCCCTTTCCGTAGACAAGGTCACATATGTATGTACATATAATAAATTTGTATGAATATTCTTGTAACGCACTGTACATACATATATACATACATATGCATGTAGATTAGTGCCAACGTACGCGCCATACAAATATATATATGTATAAAGGTATGCACGGCGACACACCATCCATGGGGTGGACTGAAAATATAAATCCATGCGCACACATAAACGTGCTTCTGCGTGTGTGTTAGTGTGATAGTGGTGCGATATGGATTTGCTAGCGAGCGCAGAGAATTTCCGCGCTTCGCAAACGCCGCATGAATGAAGACGATTATGCACACACCCGGCGAAGGGACGACCAAATAGAGAGAAGCAACGACAGAAAGCAGCTGAAGAGTACTCGCGCAAAATAGTGTGCCAGCGATTTCCATACCAAACACACATACAAATTTGGATATGTGTGTATTTTTGTAAGCATTTTGTGCCTATGCTCCCAGCGAATCGCTAAGTTCAGCACTTTAGTTCAATTAAACAATATTAGCGACGAACGTTTACAATTGGTATTGAGTACGGCGGCATAGCGTGAATGTGATATACGCATAGAATTCTCAATTAGACTGCCTACAAAAGAACTTATGTATTTTCGAAAAGGTTGTGACAAACGAGTGCATTTGGCTTTTCGACATCGCTCAATATCATCGATTTTTCAATATTTTGCCGAGCTACACAACCAATGCACGGCATTACGGAAACGCATATTGACGAAGGCGCACGCAGAATAGTGATTGCAATTGCAGGAAAAGATTGAAAAAGTGAAAAGTGCCATTGCTTCACAGTGTTGATAGAAAATCCTTTTTCTACACTATTGTGTAGAAATAAGTTTTAAATAAATAGCGCAAGTTCTTTGCTAAAGCACATCTCCTACACGCTTAGCACAAAAAATAATTACTTCCGCAGCGAAAATGGTGTTAAATAATATTACTGCGTTCCAGTTTTTCAGCAGTGTAGCTCTCGGGCTTTTGTGCTTCAAAATCGTCAACAAATTCCTACCATGGGTTTATGTAAATATTATTGGACCCTATTTTTTGGGGCCAAAGTTGAACATACGCAGCATGGGCGGTTGGGCTGGTTAGTTTTGAGTCATACAAACCGTTCTGTCTCGCCTGATAAAGTAGATAAAACAGCAGGTTACGCGCTAATGCCACAAACTTTGGACAAGAAAGTCTTTGCTTAATATCGAAAATTAGTTTAGTGAAATATTTTACCTAACACATTGCATGGCTATCATTCTTTTTGACGAAGAAATTATTACAGAATTTCTTTATCTACTTAACATCGATTAATGATATCATTAAATAGTGTGTAATCTCGTGTATTTCGATAAAGACTAATTTGTCAAAAGTGCGCGTAACTACATTTTACTTAAATCTACTTCATGCCTCTTATCAGCTTTGGACTTTATATTAATCAGCTGTTTTTTTTTTCCCCTTTATAGTGATCACCGGTTCAACTGACGGTATTGGAAGAGCTTATGCGAAAGCGGTATGTCATAAATATTTGCTAAAATTAGAAAAAAAAAACCAAAACAAAAAAAAAAAAATACAAAGCTATTATACTCTGTAACAACATGTTTGCTGCGAAGCTAGAATATTCTTTACAAATAAAAATGTTCCTATAAAAACACTTAATTTTGATAGATTAGTTCGTTGGACAGCTATACGAGGTATGACAATTAAGTAATGAGACTGATTCCATAAAAACCGTATATTTGATTATTCTACAACTCTGCCATTCCCTTCAAAGTAGTCCCTTTGGGCAGCTATACAGCGATTCCAGCGCGTTTTCCATGTTTCGTAACATTTCTGGAACGCTTCGATTGGGATGTCCGCGAGTGCCCTCGTCACGGCCGCCTGGATGCCCGTAATCGACTTAAAATGGGTTCCACGAATTTTGTTTTAGGATGACATGTCGGGCGAATAAGGCGGCAACACTGCGACCCCTTAAGAGGCGGTGTGGCATGGCGCGTTGTCGTGCCGAAGGATCCAGTTACGAGCATTGTCTGAGCGCACCATGTTGACTCGTTTTCGCAATCTTTCGAGTACTTGGCAATAGTAGACTTAATTCACAGTTTTCGCCAGTGGAAGGAATTCTTTGTGGACGATTCCACGGCTATCAAAAAAGGCAATAATCATCGTTTTCACCTTCGGCTTGCTCATGCGAGCATTTTTCGGGCGGGCGGCGCGCGGAGACAACCATTGTGAGCTTTGACGTTTGGTTTCCGGGTCTAGAGCACTATCATCATAAACTCTTACAATTTTAGCATAAGTTTCCGAAGCTGTTTCGCCCAATTTGACCCAAAATTTTATCGCGACGCGTTGCTCTTGATTTCGTTTTTCCATTTCCGTGACGACACTACAAACACTCGTCTACTCAACTTGACGCAGCAGGCGAACTAAACAAGCTAGAGCGATGGTACATATATCAATGGAGATCAGAGGGATGCCGGAAAAAGAGAAAGGGAATTTGAAGGTCACGGGTTTATCACAAGCGCGGCAATAAAATCAGTCTCATTACTTAATTGTCAAAAATCGTAAGCTATAATGTTCCAAATTGAAAAGTTTCTTCGGAACATGTTGAGAGATTGTAGCGTTGCCTAAAGAAATAATAATCTGTGCCAAATTTCGATCATCCATACAAGGCCTTGGTTTTGAGCGCTCTGTTTATATGGCAGCTCTAGTGGTCCGATATCGGTTCCTACAAATAAGTAGTTTCTTGTGGGAGAGAAGCGCGTATCCAAATTTCAGATTTCTCAGAAACTGTTAAAAAAATTTCCGGTCTATGTCATAGAAACTGTTAAAAAAAATGTTTCGAAAAAAATATTCATGCATTAATTATATTTCACAAGAGAATTTTCTTAGTAATTTGAATATTAAATATTGTTTACTATTGTTTGTTATTATTATGAAATATTAAATTTTTTTAATATTATGAAAGTTTTTTGCCTTGAATCTTAATTAATAGCCTCCGAACAGCTACTAATTTCTATGGGCGCTTGGATACGAGTATTACTTAACGTCGATTTATCTAGAAAATTTATTATATAATAAAAAACACTGTGAGGGGTATAATAAATTTATCACGATGTTTGTAACACCCAAACAGAAACTTGAGAAGCCCTATAAAATATATACATATATGCATATAAAAGATCAGAGTTACTAGCTAAGTCGATTTAGGCACGTATCGATCTGAAAGTTCTTTTCTTACCAAGAAATTGCTCATTTGGCTAAACGACCGATACAACCACCTGTCATATAAACTGAACGATGGATTTAAGTGATTGTATGGAAAGCTTATTCATCTTACGAGATATCTTCACGAAGTTTGACCTGGGTTATTGCCTAAGACAACGGTTCAATCTCCAAAGAAATTGCTGGGATCGGATCACTGTCATACAAACTGACCGACCAAAGTTCTTGTAAGGAGTATTTTGTAGCAATTGTGAAGGCTATTATAGCTTCGGAGCAACCGAAGTTGACGTTTTTTCTCTTGTTTTTAGTACAAATCTGTCAATTTTCAGAGTAATTCGATTTTACTTTCATTTACCAGAATTGCTTGATTTTTCATTACGAATAATATGCTATTTTTACTTTGACCAAAATTAATAGCTCAGATATACTACTATAGGCAAATAATAGTAAGACTTCGTTCATAATTTTAAAATTCTTAATTTTTTTACTCAAACAATCATAATACCGGCCTCTTTATACGAATTCGCGCAAACGACGCATAACACTCAAATAGCATTCCCTGTTGACTGTTTGGCCGATCGGAAAGAATTCAGAGTGCACCACACCCCAATAACCGAAGAAAACTGTCAATATAATATTGATTTTTGACCTACTTTCACGAGGTTGTTTCGACTTCGGCTCATCTTTGCCACAACAATCGGCCGATTGATCGTCTGTTTCCGGGTCGTAAGCATAAATACAAGTCATAATCGCCAGTAATAATACGTTTGATTAAATTTTGGTAATTGGAAAGCATTGTTTCACAGACGTTATTGCGAATCAATCGTGCTTTTACTTCTTTTTTCCCAAATGACCTTTCAAAATGGTTTTCACTGATCCCTACGATGTTCCAATGACACCAGTAAGATCTCTGACTGTTAATCGATGATTCTCAAGCACCAATTTAAGACTAAAATTAATGAATGAGGAATGCACCGCGAGCTTAGGTCTATTGTCCCAGATCGATCATTAGTTGATGTTGATGGCCGTCATGGACGTGGTTCGTCGTCAACACGTTCTCGACCCTCTTTGAATAATTTGTACCTATCAAAAACATTTGTCCGAGACAAACAATTACCTATTCCAACATGCTAAACGTTTCGGCACCAGAAAATTTAATGGAAGTTGTTTGTTTAATAATTTCACTCATCGTAAAGTTCGCCGAATGCACTTTACGTACTTCAAAAAGACAAGCGTATACCAATTTACTGATTATTTTGATGTGTAATTTGGCACTGACAGTCAATCATACCAACGTAGAAAGAAAATATTTCGACGAAGGCGTCTTACTATTTTTTGTCCACAGTAATATGAATAGGTACATATAGGGATATTTTTATTAGCCATAATTTTTCACTTTATCTAAACTATGACTGGAAATCCAATGCCAAAAATATGCAAATTTAAAAAAGTACCCCCTTCGTTGTATTTCTTGCACCACCAGTGCCTGTGTATACTTATACAAATGATTTCCATTAATTATTCCAAAACCACTGCGACACAGCTAACTTTGGATCAAGCAAATGCAGGCGAAAATTAAATTGGAGAATTACTTTCCCCACAGTATATTCAAGCTGCAAGCGCTATGCAAATTTGAAAGCAAATAAGCGAAGTTCAACTACTTAGGCTGTAGTTCTCGCCGACTGGAGTCTACTCGCCACTGCAAATATTTATCAATAATAATGTTTGCAATTAATGAATGCATATTGAGTATTTTGTGTCTCTATTTTGAAGTATTAGCTGAACTTGGAGACCTAAATTGTAATTTTATGCACGTCGCATAGGTGACAATGTTTCGTTTTTTTTTTGCTCTAGCTGTATTGTCACAATAGCTGTCATCGGCAGGTCTAATACGTGCCGACGCATTTTAACGACACGAAAAATTTAAAAATGATATATTAATAAATAAATAATAAATAAATAAATAAAATTGCGTGACTTTAAAAGAGGGTGCTCTAGGAACTAGCGATGCTTCATGCTTAATGAAATTAGCTGATCTGAAATTTTTGTTACCAGAAAATATCGAGAATGCGAAATTAAATATAACACTGATCAATATATCATACAACGGTGGTCTAATAAATATTCAGTCTCACCTCCAGATGGCGCCACTGAGAAAGAGAATTATATTTTCGACTAATATAATATAATTCCTTGTAAAATGGAATCCCTTATTGTTCAATAGACGGTTTTAGTTACCTGTATCACGCGTTGTCCAAGTATCATTTCATGCTAAAAAATCTTTTCGAAAAGTATTATTTGAGCACGCGTCAAAAATGGGCACCAGCAATGAGAAAATACGCCATATTTTACAATATTTCTTCGATAAAGACGAAAATGCATGCCGAACGGCTTCATTTACTTTACATCCAATCTGGAAGGGCAATTGTCGAAATTATCGACAAAATAACGGAAGTTGTCAAATCCGATCGTCATGTAAGAACATCGTTGCTGTTTCGCAACAAAGTCGACGCATTTCTGAAACAGATGGTCACTGCTGATGAGTCCGATTTTCGATTGCTCAGGATCTAAGCATTGCACAAAAAACCATTCGCAACCATTTAAATAAGGCTAGACGCAAAAAGAATATTGAGTTAACGGAAAAATCTCATGAACCAAATTTGATATGCGAATCGTTGCTGTTTCGAAGGATTGACTATCAAGAAATCTTTGGCATGTCTTTGATGAGATTGACAGGGAATTATCTACTATGTGCTACTCCCATACAGTCAAACTCTGTCTGTCAACTATTGAACCGTGTGAATGAAAAATGTTAAACTCTTAATTTGCACCTGTACTGTCATATATCTGAAGAAAGAAAACTCTAAATAGCGTCCAGTTTTGGTCAATAGGAAAGAAATTGTGTTTCATCAGGACAACTACACCGCCAGAAACTCCTGGAGCTTAGTTGAGATGTTCTAAACCTTCCACATTATAGACTGGACTTAGCATTGAGTGATCGAGACCTAGATTAAGCGAATGATTTCGCTAGTCGAAATTTCTATCAAAAGAACAACAAATTATCAAACTAAACGGTGCATATTTGATCTTAATCGGTTACAACTTTAAAATTAGTGCAAAAATAATGGACTTTACTACACCTGATATTTGTCACTTGGCATCAGTTTGTGCCAAGAACTAGTCTAACAAACTTGAACTCTTATTAGTAAGATTTTATAATAAATAACCCAAAACAACGAAGATGTCCAGGCTTAATCACAATGTACCCTAAAAGCAGTTAATAATAAACGCATTCAAAAAATATGCGAACAAAGAAGCGGGGAATCGAATATGGTTCATATTGCAGTCATAATACAATTATGCAATTTTACAAGGTGTGAGCAAATCTCTCGAATAGCTGTTTTCAATGTCATGTGCAAAGCTATTTGATGTGAGCACACATAACTGCATTACGAGAGATTTTTTAGGTAAACAGTAAAAAAGCAATTTCTTTGGCAAATATTAACATATCTAGCATTAACTTTACAAAAGGAAATGCGCTGACTATGCAAAAAAATTTACGTAATTACTTTAAACAAAAACAAGTAATAAAAACCATTATAATCTCTAGCAACATGTTGCAAGAGTATAAAAAAGTATGAAGTTCGGGTGGCATTCAATATTTTATACTCCCGTAATTTTCACATTAAAAAATGCATTATGCAAGCAAAATTGTGCGTTAATTTCGAGAAATGGTTCAGTCAATTGGTCGCCCAGGTCATGCGATTTAATGTCTCTAGGTTATTTTCCCTGGGGCTGTATTAACTAAAAGCTTTACGCCAATAGAAAAGCAACGCTTGAAGATGCAACGCACTAAAGTCGAAATGCTGCACCGAGTCTTTAAAACTAAGGTGGAGATAGGCAGATGGAGCCGTGGTGACCATTGGGACGACATTTTCTTCAAAATCATAAATGGCATAAAAAAAATACACAGAATCCATTCGATCCAATTTGATTTTGTTTTAATATTACGTGTTGTTTATCGCTAGACGCTAGACGCTATATATATACTAAGTAGTATATACATTTAGATGTGCATCCATAAGAAAATGCAATTAAATATGTACAGTATTTGCTCACACGTGAACATACATACATATGTAAGTCATTACGGTTTTTTGAGAAGCCAGAGTACAGTCTTAATTACATTGTTTTTTGCATATTAGCAATTTTCATTACCATTATTGTGCAATATTACATTTTTTTTTATATTTAATCATTAATAGCTGATTTAGGTCTCCATATTTTTCAGCTTGCGAAGCGAGGATTCAGTTTGGTGCTGATCAGTCGTTCATTGAGTAAATTGGAGGATGTCGCAAAGGAAATCGGTATGTGCATATGAACAGTTATTCTAAATATAATTAGAATTTATTGTTATTTCACAAACTCTAGCAAGAAAATATAACTTATTATCTGTTTAAAATACTACTTATTGTTGGAGTTCGCCTTTAACCTAAAGAATAGATACATATATTCTAACAGATTTCTAACGCGTCCAAGACAACGGTACAAACTCCGAACAAATTGTCTACATTGGCCTACATTGGACTACTAGAGCATATACCTATGAAGGGTATAATAGCTTTGCTGCAGCCGATGTTAACCTTTGTAATGTCGTCTTTCGAAAAACGAAACAAAAAAACATGAGTTGAGTTAATCGAAATGAGACTAGTAAAGAAATAAATTGGTCCCATTCAGATTGATCATGAGTATTAAAATGTAAAAAAAAATATTAATATATAAAAAAATTAGCATATCCATTTAAACCGAAAAAAATGCTGAATATTAAAATTGCAAGCATCAACCGACTTAGAATTAAGATATTAAAATATAAACAGTAGCAGTAACTTGATCAAAAACCAAAATTCAAAGTCAAATGATACTGTTCTAAATAAACATCGTTTAATGACAGGAAAGCGGTCGCACGTTCGCCTATATGGTATAAAGCAAGGGTCATGTTGATTAGCTCTCATACTTTTTTCGACCCACTGTGGGATTCTTTGATTCTGCGTTTTACCGTTTTGAAGTTAGGGAGTATTTGATTGCCAGGTTCAGAGACGATTTGAGAAATTGTGACTTTATTGAAAAAATGTGTAGTAATAATAATGGAGTCAATGGAGTAGAAGTTCACGGAAGTGAGGAAAGTTCTCTGAGTGCCATTCACTGGGGAGTGGCCAGAAACGATTCTTTTACATATGACTCAAGCAGCTTACGACTTCGACTGAGAAAGCGAACCGTTTGTACACTGAGTTTGGAAGACGTCACGTAAATAACGCCCTCAATGAAAAGGAGACAACTGCCTCGGAAGAGAGACCCAAGTTTTGATGACGACCGTTGCAAACGCATTAAGAGTTACGATTTAAGAGCATGCACTTGAAGTGACTCGTCCCTTAATTGAAAAGGTGCCGCTGCCCAGCCGGTTGATGTCCTCGTTATAGTGAAGGCTTACATTATCGCCGTCTTAGATGTGCGATGGACGGGACACGGACTGAGACGAGTTGGTTCTTGTGGCACTTTCTATAGTCGCCATATAGAGGATGGTCATTCGGTGGAAAATTCGTGGTGGGAGATTGACTCGATCGCTGAGCCCTGGCATGCCCTCCGGTGGGTGAACGTCTGGGGACAAGCACTTACGACAGCTTCCCCCTTCACGATGGCAAAATCGCGCTCGGCAACTTTAACGCCAGGGGGAGCAAGAAAGTATCTTTGGCGCAACGATCGCTAAATTCAGCCTTCATGATGAAACATCCACAAATGGATTGAGGCTGATCGATTTCAGCAAAGGATAATTCACCAATGACAACATCTGATGAGTCGATGTTACAAAATTACGAGCGAAAGGTTCTGCGGAAAATTTATGGTCTTTTGCGCATTGGCCACGACGAATATCGCATTCGATGGAACGATACGCTCTATGAGATATACAACGACATTGACATAATTCAGTGAATTAAAAGAAAGCGGCTACGCTGGCTAGATCATATCGTAGGAATGGATGAAAACACTCCATGTCTAAAAGTATGCGACGCCATACCCGCCGGGGGAAGGAGAGGAAGAGGAAGACCTCCACTCCATTGGCAAGACTAGTTGAAGAAAGACCTAGCTTCGCTTGGAATCTCCAAAGGGCGCCAAACAGCAAAAACCGCGTAATAGGTGTCTACGCCAATAAAGAAGAAAAAGATTTACATATTTACAGTGCCAGTTATAATGAAATTCAAACATCTCTTTCGGGCAACGTTGTATTCTTTTTTAATAGGCAACCGAATTAAAATATCCGTAAAACAAAAGTGAATAGAACAAGATTTTCTTTGTTCTTTATCGAAACGAATTTAGAGGGTTAAAATTTTTCATTCGACATTTAAAAAAACACGCCATTGCAACCTGTTGTACTATAAAGTTGTTAATATTGAAATAGATTTTCATCATACAACTTTTGTAAATTTCAGAAAATGAGTACAAGGTAGAAACCAAAATCATCGATGTTGACTTCCAAGATAGCATTGGAATTTACGATAGAATCAAAGCAGGCATTGAAGGCCTAGACATTGGTGTGCTCATTAATAATGTTGGCGTTTCATATCCCTACCCAGAGTACTTCCAAACGTTTTACCAACAGAACCCTAAAGTCTTGCTAGACATGGTTTCGGTGAACATACACTCGGTGACACACATGTGTGCTTTGGTTTTGCCAGTCATGCTGAGCAGGAAGAAGGGATTAATCATAAATGTGTCGTCATCAATCACATCTGTACCCGCTGGACTGTTAACTCTTTATAGCGGAACCAAGGTATTACCATAAATAGAAAATTTTTAAATAATTTAAGACATTTTAATTTACTTGTTTACTTTAATACATTTTGCAGGCTTTCGTCGATAAATTTAGTGAAGATTTACAGACGGAATATCGAGATAGTGGGATCACAGTACAATGCATTAAACCGGGTTTCGTTGCAACCAAGATGAGTAAGGTTAAAGCCAGTATGTGGTGCCCAACGCCCGATACCTATGTGGCTTCAGCACTCAATATGTTGGGATATACCACGACAACACCTGGTTATTTCCCACATCATTTCTTAGAAATACCATGTGATTTCATGACGTACCTAACGTGCAAACCCTTCGTCTCGAGCATGTTTTTGAAACATTATTTGAAGCTGAGAAAAAGCGCTTTGAAACGGTTGAGCCAAAAGAAATAGGGTACCGGCAGATGTGAAAGCTAATATTAAAATTATGTGGATTATTATTTTTTTTTTTTTTCAATGCAACCTAACTTAAATGTGTTTTACATTAAAAAGATTTAAATTAATTTTTTCCAATGGGCATAAATAAAAATGACACAAAGCTATGTTAAATAGATTTTAAATGAAATTAGAATAATGACAATCTACAGTGTAGCTACAGTTACTCTCCATCTGCTGGTGGAGATTAGTCAAATAAATGCTGTGTCCAGTCAAAAACACCAGAAGATCATCTGCAGAGGTAAGAAAAGAGATTTATTACTGGCATGATTGGTCCAGGAAACAGCAAATGATTGGTATGTAAGTCATTAGGAAGAAATGAGTAACATATATGTGTAACATATTCTTATGGAAGATCCTTGATGTAACAATCGCATACGAAGATTTAAAGCTTGAAGTATTCTGTCGACTCGTTGGGAACACAAATTGAAAATTAAGATTGGTGGTTGACTGCAAAATGAAGAAATGTGATGGAATTTAAAATTGTGTTATATGGGAAGCAGGCGTGATTGTAGTCCTCATTTTCGTACTGCCTCAAATTAATGTCAAGATTATAGTATTATATGCTAAATTTGGTAGAGATCGGTCGAGTAGGTCCTAAGATATAGATTTTCACCAAAATGTAAGCTGATTCCTATAAAGTTCTCTAAAATCACCAAATGCAAAACTTATGCATCCGGCGTATTTATTTATTGGTTAATGCATTTTTAGTGGAGTGCTCTTGATTAGTTATGACACCCGATTTCATCCATTTCCATACTGTCGGTAGGAGTTCATATAGGATTTATCTTGGACGAATTTAGTTGTTCCAGCTTGAATGGTTTGGGAGGTATGTACATTAAATCTATTAGGGGACGAGACCACTTCCACCTTCGCAAAATTTTAAGCCTACAAGTGCTCTTTACTACCGCGATCCCTTATGCCAAATTATAGTTCTATATCTTAATTTAGAGCTTAGTTATGCCATTTGATAGGTTTTCGTTCAATGGCGTGGGCCAGTATCAGGAACTCGTTGTTCATTTTTTTCCAAGGAACACGTGTTTAACGTTTCAACAGGATATCCCAGTTTTTACTCAATTGACAGCTTGCGCACAGAAATACATCCGGATTTCTAGGACTGAGGAACTTGTTCGCGTACATACTGACGAACGAACATGGCTAAATCGACTCAGCTCGTCATATTGATATATTTCATATTTATATATACATATATATTGATCATTTATATATATAGGCTGTTACAAACATCGTGGCAAACTTAATACATATGTCCTCTTTATGGTATAATAATATAAAAAAAAAATCCATACAAAATAGTGTATATAATATTGTTAGCAAATAATATTCAAAAACTACACCCTGTGGCAAACAAAGTACGAAAACAGTTCGCACCAACTGTGCTCACACAGCTGATTGCACTGACAGTGAGCGAAAGATTGACATTTCATTTCTCTGTTTTTCTGTTCGCGTGTAAAGCAAGTGGCAACTAAATAAAGTGTGAGCAATTGTGTATAATTTTGTGAAAATAAATTAAACTTTAGTTTGATTACTTTCAATATATTTACAATAAAATACATAATAACAATATTTCATGCAAACTCAATATGTGTATTGAGAAATAGCAAGAAATACGACATAGCGCACTTACGTAATTTTGTTACATTGCTGTCATTTTATTCTTTTCAGGTGTTATGACTTTAGCCCGCTTGGCAAGGAAGTACGGAGCTGTTATATTCTTCCCCACATTTACAGTAACAACGATTTTAGTCGACTGGACTCATACAAGAGCCTGGAAAGAACGACAACGCCAGCTTGATCGAAATAAAGAATTGTTAACTGATTAATAAACTCTGTGAACAACACATAGCAGCATGATTGGGTTGGACAAACGCTTTGTATGGGCTGTGTTGCCCTTTATTGGTTTTGCTATTGGCCATTTCTTAGATAAGAAGGAAACCGAACGTATGACACTATTCCGTGATAAGAGCGCACTCTATGCTCGGCCGGCTGGTTCTGAAGGCAAACCACCATCTTGGTAAAAGGTTACTAACATGGCGTTTATAAGTAAAAAATTGTCTACTTTAAGTACCATTTATTTGAAATGAGAAAGCTGGTGTCTCAATAAAACAAATGTTTTAAACGAAAAAGATAAGTGTGTTGCTATGTGCTTGAAACAAATAGATTGCTAAAGCGAGTCTCAAATGAAATAATATAATTCAAATGCAAATAGAAATAGAAATCCGGAAAAATCTTTCGAACAGGTTTTACGATCCAACGATAGTCGGGTCTACGTAACCGGATCAGACCAGGATTATTATTCGGCTAAGGGATATCAACTCGGCACCATCCACTTGAACTTAATTCAGAAATGTTTTATGTCGCTACAACAACAACAACACATTTTACGACGGGTCTAAGTAACCAGAGTGGAAACGATTATTTTTCCGGCCAAGGATTGCCAATTCGGCACCATTCCTCGAAATTACTTCAGGAATGTTTTCTGTCACTACAAAATATTTTACCCACAACAACTATTTGTAAAACATTTGTAAACATCGTAATTTAAAACAATATCACATTTCTTGACTCCATGAAAGTCATGGCAATATAATTACAACAAATATAATTTATTACTAAAATGACATATTAATAATATTATTAATTGATAAATTTATATTTTAATCTTTGATTATGTGATTTCGAACTCAATACCACAAAACTGATTGGGTTATCCTTCATAAAGTATTTACATATGTATATACATATGTGGAGGATCTTTCAATGCAAACCGACTTTTAAATTACAGCGGGTTCATTTTGTTTGCCTTATTAAGGATATACAAACATCAAACTTTTCTCTAGTTAATCTCTACCTAAAATCCGGCGGCTGTGTTTTGCAAACTATTTTAATGTTGGCGAAAGTTTCCTCATGAAACTATTAAGCTATTATTTATCAATATACACTTATGGACAAAATAATAGATGTAAGCATTTTTACTAAGTAACTATGAAGTAGTGCCTCTGAAGTATCCCATTTCATGGCTAAACATTATCCAAATCGAACCGAAACTGTTCAAGCCCCTAGGTACCATATAGTTGACTTTTGACAAAACATATCGGTCATTGTGTTAGATACATATATATTTTAAATTTGGATCAAAAATGGGTTGAATCGGATCAATCTTCCCTGAGCTCCCAAATACCTAAAATATAAAGATTTTCGATCTTCCGGGTGACTTAAGGGGTCAGTAGGGTAACCTTTCTTTTTTGTTTTGCATTTTCTGTTTCCTTATACTTTTAGAATTAATGTAGAAACCCACTTTACCAGGTTTCGAAAAAGCCCAAAAATAATAATACGTTCCGAGCTCAAAACACTCTTTGGATGCTCTTTATTTAAGAATAAATACGGTTTTTGTGTTTACTTAAACCCCATTAAAATGATTTACTTTTTTCCATTTGCATTTAATCCGTTCATTTTGGTCAATATGTATGATATTTTAACCAAAGATTAACTTGTCAATTTAAGTTTTCCTCAGAAATTATGTGATTTAGCGCTGAATAAGAACGGATTTTGTCTAGAACATGGTCTAAATCCCATATCTCTAATATAATTAATTACAATGTAATGGTTGACGTGTTTAGCAAAAGCAATTTAACTAAATCTAAATCTAATCTCTTTCACAACTTTTTAAATATATTATACATATATAAAATGTTCGGTTACATCCGCACATAGCGCTTCATTACTTGTTTTTTTAATATTACTTACACCTATTTTATTGTCCAACAAAATTTATTGAAGCAATGATATATGTATGTACCTAACTTATCATTCGAACGGAAAATTAACAAAATAATAATGGAAGTTGTTGATACTGATGGTGGAGGTGGACTCATTCGCCTTTATCGTAAAAATACTTAATAACGGTATAAAACTGACGAACAGTTACCTACACCATTAGCCGAAAAAAGGTACCAGCTAAACTCACACCTATTATTTTGTCCATTAATGTTGTGTGCACTGGTAAATTTGTAGAGAACCGAAAAAATGGAAAAATCGCTAATAAGGAAAATATTCTACGAATCATCCTGAACAACTTCGCCTATGAAACTATGGCTCTAAAACAGGTTTCGAGCTATTGATTTTCAAACTGAAGCATTTGGCTATTATAAATATTTTTTCGTCAATTTTTTAAGAATGAATTTAAATACAGAAGTTGTATTTTGATATTCTACTGATTATTTGTCAAACTCAACTATATCGGATAACTATAACATATACATATGTAGAGACATACATATCTCCAATGAAAATAACTATTCAGATTTTTAATTTCCGGTAAATTACCTTGACGATAGAAGACATCGGAAAAAAAATCGTGAAATCTTGTTGTGTGACCGTAAAATGAAATTTACCGAGTTGGATTGGACAAAGAAACGCATAGATCATATCACAAACGTGATAGCAAAGTAAAACACAGAAGACTAGACTAAAATTACTTCTCCAGCCTGCTGAACGGGAAGGAAGTCTCCGAGCCGTTTAATACCAAGCGAGGTTTCAGACAAGGCCACTCTCTTTCGTGTGACTTCTTCAACCTACTTCTGGAGAAAATAATTCGAGCTGCAGAACTGTACCTTTAATCTTCTGTAAGTGTATACAGCTGCTAGCATATGCTGATGATATTGATATCATTGGCCTTAACAGCCGCGCCGTCAGAACGTCTTTCTCCAGAATGGATAAGGCAGCGAAATCCAACGCAAAATATCTATTTTCAACAGGTGCGACTTTGTAATTGAAAGTAAAATTGTCGGCAAACAAAAACCCAACTCTATGAGTCCCTCATTATTTCAGTTCTACTATATGGTGCAGAGCCCAATCGCATCATTTGATTAGTCGGCCTAAGGGGTGTTCGTGAGAAAGCTTTTGCGAAAGAATTTTGATCCTACGCGCATCGGCAACGGCGATTACCGCAGTCGATGGAACGATGAACTTTATGAGATATACGCCGCCACTGACATAGTTCAGCGAAATAAAATGCAGCCAGCGTAGCCGCTAGGTCATGTCGTCCGAATGGACGAAAACAATCCAGCTCTAAAGGTATTCGACGCAGTACCCGCCAGAGGAAGCAGAGCAAGAGGAAGACCTCCACTCCGTTGGAAAGACCAGGTGGAGAAGGACCTGGCTACGCTTGGAATCTCCAATTGGCGCCACCTTGCGAAAAGAAGGTCTGACGCGACTGTTGTTAACTCGGCTATAACCGCGTTTCTACTCCAGTAAAGAGAAGAAGAGGTACCGAAATGTCGACGCTACAACAACTGCAGCACTCTAGAGGAGATTATCCATATTTTCATTCTAAAATGCATTCTTTCAATCTCTGGCCAAAGACTTCAGTCTATAGTGATTAGTAAATATTTGACCGCGATCGCCCTTTAGCTTTCCACAACTTGTTTACTCTTATAAGAACCAACAACTGATGGAAAGTTGGATAAGTAGATACGCTGTAAAAAGTAAATAAATAAACAGTGACTATCGCTTCGAAAATAACTGCGTGGACGAGCATAACATTCACAAGTCATATATTCATGCTTACATATAGGCATATACATACATATGTATGTATCTATGAATGTAAGTACAAGAATATACCTATTTAAAATACATATGTATGTATGTATGTACATATATGCCCGCATGTAACTAGAAGAAATGGACTGTATACAAATTACTTATTTGTGGTAAAAGTCACCAAAAAACAAAAAAAAATATGAAAACAAATAAACTTGTATGGAAAATCATAAACCAATCAACAACGTTTTTGTGTCCACTTAGGAATATTTAAGTTAGAATGTATGTGCACACGAAAACCCAAATGATTTTCGAACTCTTGGAGCAGACAAAACCAACAAATACTGTCCGTTGGCCACAAACAACCGCAAAACAATTTTGACCAAGGCACTAAGTCTGTTACAAGCAACTGTAATGAAGCTGCATCATGCTGCATGCTGAGTTTACATACTTTCTCGTCTCCAGATTCCACAAGTGCCTTCTGATTTATGACCTATAGCCAGTTAACAAGCCGTTGGTGCCGAAAATAAAACTTGTTTTTTTTTTCTTTGGTTGTGTGTGTGTGTTTGTGTAGTGGATAGTGGCTGAATTCTTAACGAACCTCGTCCTCTACCGTAAGTAACGTATGCTTCCCTTAGGTTGAAGCATCAATTTACGCAGGTAGTTTTAAAATATTCGGCGCACGAAAACTGCAATAACAATAACAATGCATAAGAATTGCAAAGAGTTGTTTAGAATTCGTGACAACACAGCGCAGATGAAAAAGATATACACATGACACACAACAAAACAAACGAGTACATACGAAAACAGGCAAGTCAATGATTTTTTGAACCGCTTAAACTCTTTTAAGAGGTGCTGAAGTCATGCGGAGGCTTTGAGAAGCACAAAGAAGAATACAAAAAGATGTGGCAAAGAGTTATTTTACAGGCAAGAAAGAAATTATATGTATATACTGGGCTTAATATACCACTATTTTATACCCTGAGCAGGGTATATTAAATTTGCACGAAATTTGTAACACACAATAGTAGTCGTCGGAGTCCTAACACAGTACCTAAGTTTGTGATATATCGAAATTGAATTTTGCACGAATCCGATTTTCCCCAAGATGCCGAGTTGACAGTCCTTGACCGGATAAAAACCCGAGTACGTTCCGGCTACGTAGACCCGACTGTCGCCAGACTGAACCATCAAAATCATGCCTTTGTATTGAAAACTTTTTTTGACACAGACTATTGTCCCAGGCAACGGTACAATCTTTGAACAATTTGTTCAGATCGGACAACTGCCATACAAACTGATCGATTAAAATGAAGTACTTCTAGGAAAAATTGAACCTGTGAAGTGTATTATAGCTTGCAGGCATTTTGTTTAGATTTTGACTTTAAATGAAACTAATTATTTTAGCGCAAAGGGTTAAGGGGTTACATCGGTTTACGGGTTTCAAAAAATCGATTTTATCGACTACAACTATTTGAATAAAAATGTCAGTCAAAAATTCAATTTTCAGTTTTTTTCCAGGTTTCCATATTTAAAGTTAAGGTTTTAACCAAAAGACAAATTTTTTCACTTTACACCA